AATTTTACTCCAACTTAATCTTATGCACTGCACCTTAATATATCAATTTTTACTGTGCAAGTCAAAAAATCGTGAATACTTGGATTTGATTTTGACCGGTCAACCGTGTACTGACCAATCACAATTAAGTTCCAGACACACGAGTAAACCTAAAAACCACAAACTTATTACTTAATTATATACATTACACCGATAAAAGTAAAATATAAATTTTAAGGTAAAAGCTGTTAAAAGCTGTTAAAATTATGAGATATAAAATTATAGTTTTCTGATGCCTAAGTGGCTTTTTTTTTGCTACACAACAACATTCCATAAAACATATATCTGGTCCTCACAGTTATCCGAGTTTCACAGCAATGGGCAACTCATTATCTTTAATAATTTTATTAGTAAGCTCTTTATCAGCCTAGAATGACTGACATCTCATTTCTCTGTATAAATATACAATAAAAACCCGGCTATAAGAAACTAGAATTCTCGAGGTCAGGCTGAACAGGTTCTTTTATTTTAAGGTAGTTTTTCACAATTCAGCCTGATTAAGTATTTAATAGGTTCTTATTAACTTTTTCAGAGTTTGAATATGTCTATTTTTTTATTTCACACGGACAAAACTGGGTGTTTGTTAACGGCATGGCTTAGATGATCAAACAATCAAGGTNTTTATTAGTAAGCTCTTTATCAGCCTAGAGTGACTGACATCTCATTTCTCTGTATAAATATACAATAAAAACCCGGCTATAAGAAACTAGAATTCTCGAGGTCAGGCTGAACAGGTTCTTCTATTTTAAGGTAGTTTTTCACAATTCAGCCTGAGTAAGTATTTAATAGGTTCTTATTAACTTTTTCAGAGGTTGTATATGTATATTTTTTTATTTCACATGGACAAAACTGGGTGTTTGTTAACCGCATGGCTTAGATGATCAAACAATCAAGGTCCAAGAAGAACATCAATACAATCCTATATTTTATTATAACATATTTACATTTTAAATTGACTATATTGCACTGTAGCTTTATGGGAAACATAATCAGTGAAAATCCAAAAAAAAATGTAAATCAAAGCAAACATATACACAATAACTTTTCTGTCAGAAGTTTCTCACACAATTAAAATCCAGAATTTAGACCATCAAAATTGGAGTGATTATTGGTATAAGAACATATTTTCTTTGCCACGCTGAACAGGCTCTTATATTTTTTGGTATTTAAATGCCAAATTTCAGCCTGTAGGTTCTTAAAACACTACATGTAAGTTCTTATAATTATGCAGGTTTTTACTGTATCAACATCACAACCTGTAAACTTCCAAGCAAAGCAAGGTAAAATTTTCAGCTATGGAATATTGTCTAACAATATACATATCGCTTGTTTGACACTTGTCAAGTGTCCAGTATTAATGGCTACATATTTTTACCAGACTTGACTTTTGATAGGCCAGATGCCAAAGAATGGACTTATATTTCCCCTCATATCACCTAGTGAGCTAAAAGCTTGTTCAAAATACGTATGTGCAGATAAAAACGAAAATAAATTACTGACAATATGCCCATTTCTATTCTATTCTATCATGATCATTTCTATTATTACACAATAGCAGACATCCTAAACTAAAAATTATCCTAGAGATCACCACTTTTATCTCCTCTGTTTACTATAGTGGCACTTTAAACAATAATTAAATACTAGTGACAAAAGTGTACCCACCTAACTTGGCATTGTAGGAAATAACTCTCAACTGCTTAAGGAATTCAATCTGGTCTGTGCGGTCTGTGCCCTGAGAAACCACCACAACAAAATGCCCCTTTTAGTGAATACAAGAATAGGCCCTGTGCACTTACATGTACTAGGTCACATAGTATAAAA